TGGCTGCAGCTCCCTGTTGTAGCCACCAGGGACTGTCCGAATCATCAAAGCTCTCTGAATCTTTGCCGAAGATTCAGAGAGCTTTGAATCAATTCAGACCTTTAAATTGGTCCTCTGATTCGATTCGGATTTGGAGATTCGGCCACTGAATCGGGCTGAAACTCCTCTGAATTGAATCACCACCCGAAGCTTTGCACAGCCCTAATAAACGAGGGCCTTCCGCTGCTGGTCTGTAAAGAGGGCACCTTCTGCGTGGAATCGTTTCAACTGGAATTTGTGAGGCTGGAAAATGCAATGGGATGTAGAAGTCTTGAGTTCTGTTGGCTGTTCAGAGCCTGTCACCAGACACAGGTCACATTAATGCCACATCAAATAGCAACACAGAGATAGAGCACTGAGCCAGAACAGCCTGTCGCTTTGTTCAGTATCAAGCTGAGGATTTCCTGTATCCTTGGACTGCAGCCTGAAACTCATTTGGATTACACTGAGATTTTGATCCAATGAACTCTCCCTACTGACTGTGAGGGCCCAGTCTTGTTCACTCCCTCTACATGCTTCATCATGGCAGTGGCCCAGGAGATGGTGGCTGCCCTGGCATGAGTACACAAAGTGAAGAGAGAGCACTAAAAGCCATGGTGCTCCTGTGCCGTGGGGCCAGGCACAATTCTGGGGTGAAGGGTACCTTCATGCTTTAGACTGGAATTGCTTTAGAGGAGAGAAGACTGCAGCCTGGGTCTGACTTCTTACCCCCTCCAAGTGGCTACTGACTTTCTAGCGACAGTCCAGCTCCCCTCAGTGCTAAGACATTAACTTTTGTTCCCCTGTTCTGGAACAGATGCTCATCAGGGCCGTCCACCACAGGATTGTCATGGAGTACGTACAGGCTCTCCTGACAGGCTACAGGAAGTCACGTCCTAAGCAGCAGAGGTCAATTACCCGCAGAATTGAACAAGACTATGAAACCCTGCAAGACCTCTTTGTCAAATGCTTAGTAAGTCTTTGATTCAATTACAAAGCATTGTGCTTACTTTGGGTATAGACAGTTCAGTTTTAGCTGTTCAGATCTGTGAGATATGGTTAACTTCTAGTTTGGTGATCTGAAGGGGACCACAATATTTCCAGTCTTGCCCTGATGTCAAAGGGAGTGGGATGATGTATTGCTGGCGCAAGCATGTGGCCAGCTGTGCCTCAAGGGGCAGTTGCTTCCACAGTGAACAGGTTGTGTGGTCAATGGTGCCCTTTCCAGGTAAGCACTGCAGATTTCCACAGAGCCTCCATTTGGAGACAGCTGCCGAGGTGAAACACTGACCCGCCCTGTGTCACTAGTAAGGGGAATGAAGTAGGTGTATTTAGTCTGGAGAGAAGATGAAGGGAGGACACAGCTATTTTCTAAGATTTGAAAGGCTGCCCTAAAGAAGAAGGGGGCGGGGAGTTCTCCTTTGCCACAGAGAACAGGAGCTGAGGAAACAAGTTTAAAGTACAGCTAAGAAGATTTAGATCCAGTTTCAGGAAAAACTTCCTATGAACAATACAAAACTGCCACAAGTTGCCTGGGAGAATGTCCTCCCTTGATGGGTTTCAAGAGTAGGCTGGAAAGGCAGCTGGCTAGGATGGGTAAGAAACCATGAATACTACCTCTATGCAGGAGGGTGGACTAGCTGAGTTTTGTGGTTCCTTTCAAGCCTAAGATTCAATGCCCTGCGATACCACCCCTTGGAGGCTTTACTTGCCCCACACGTTTCTTCCCCCCTGGGTAAGAGTTTGTGGGCACCATGCACTCTGTTCTCCTTCCCTGTCTCTTCTTGTGGGAACCTGTGCAGTGTCTTTATTGACATTGGAGGTAGTTTGGCCTGCTATGTGAATATGAGCTGTTTCCTCTGGTTGAGGATGGCATAGAGGTCTTTAAGAGAAGACTGAACGGTCACCTGGCTGGGGTCGTCTGACCCCAGATGTCTTTCCTGCTCATGCAGGGGGCTAGACCCAATGATCCTTTGGGGTCCCTTCCAGCCCTATGACACTATGATTTCTGTCCTTGTGAGAATTCACATTCTTTAATTGATTTTTGGTGCATATGGAAGGGTTTTATACACTGTTCCAGCGCTGTGGTTAGAGAATATTTTCTTAATATGTTAAAAGAGTAGTGAAACCTTTTGTGGAAAGGCTTTCCTTTCCTTGTGTAACCCGGGAACACCCAAGGGTGTGCCCATCCTCAATTGAAAGGGATAGATGAGGCAGGTGACAGTGCTGTGAGAGGGACACAGGTGATTTGAGCATGGGTCCCTCTTTCCTCTATAGAGTTGACTCCACACCAATGCTCTTAACTGTTTACAGTTTATTGAATTATAATATACATATTATTTCTCGTGTGTGTGTGTGTGTGTGTGTAAATGTTCTAACAGGTAATAAAAAAAACCTTGCCAAAAAATATTCTTTGCAATATCTCTTAACAACACTAAAGATATACAGATAAATATTTACAATACAATAAGCCAAAAACCCATTATACCAAACTAACCCAATTCCATAACATTTTATATAACATATTCATAATTTTTTATAACAAGTATACAAAATATGAGGCGCAGTTTTACACAATATAAGGCATGTTTACCCCTGGATCCCAGCTAGCAAGGGGCGCTTCCCCTTCTATGGGTCTAGCTAGGAGGGAAACTTTCCGGGGCTTCCTTCTGGCGGCAGGGTGGGGGGGAAGGGGTTTGACTTATTTCAGGAATGTTTCCCTTGCGGGACCCAACTCTGCCCGCAACTGTTTTCTTCGAGGAGCTGTCGACAGGGCCTCAGTGTCCTTCGCTCAATCAGAGGCCCTACCAGCATTGTCTGCGTCACTCCGGGACCTCCCCTCCTGGCCCTGTGCCCTGCTTGCGGCACCGAGGGTCTTTCCAGCTCTCGTGTGGGGAGAATCTAGTTGCTGCTGGCTGGGTTTGCCTAGGCCTCCCCTTTCCCCCTGCTCTAGGCTCCGGGGCTCTTTTAGTTCTTTGGCCGGGCCACACTGCGGGGCTCCGGTTATCTGGCTTACACCAGGGCTAACCGAAGCAGCCTCAAGCTGCTCCCAGGGCAGGTTCTCTGTGTGCTGGTTTGCACACTGCATGGGGCCTGAGCAGCCTGGAGGTGCTCTCAGGGCTGGCTCTCCATGTGCCAGCCTGCACACCACTCCATCCAGCCCTCTGCTGAGGATGCAGGCTTGAGCTGCCTTGGTGTGGCTCCCAGAGCCTGAGCCCTGTGCACCAGCCTGCGCACCGCTAGTGCATAGAAGGGATCCTGTGAAGGCTCTTCCCTCTCCAGTATCCCTTGCTGTCTCTGCCCAGTGCGCTGAGCACGCTGGGCTTTTATCTACACTGGAGGCCCTGCCCCTGAAGTCGGCCAGATCTGCAAAGCGCAGTCTTCAATTAGAGCCGAGGGCAAGCCCCTCCCAGCTGTTACCTGATTGGTAGAAATGTTCCACCAATCCAAAGTGTCCTTCTCCAAGCCAGGCTTGCTGGCCAAAAGCGGCGAGCCTACCACGCTTGGAGGAAAATTGTGGGCCAGACTTTCAGAAACGGCTTCTAAACATGGTCCTGCATTTTTTGCCAATGAAGTGCTTTTGCACACCTGAAAGCCTGTATTTATATGCAAAATCTAATAGAAAGTTCTGCCCAATGCAGTTTATGCCCATGTGGCTTGATAGTGCCCAAGTCATTTTGTTTGTATTCATGGACTTGCATAAAAAGGAGTGCTAGCAGGTTGAAATCACTCTAGAAAACATTC